TTTGATTCGAATAAACATTTTTAATTATTTATATATTGCCATCATCTGTGCCAGTTCCCTGTGGTACTCTAATAAGTTTATCGTCTCGAATTCGGTCAAAGGATTTCTCATAGTCGATAAAGCACGCAAACAAAATTTCACGCGTTTTGAAAGCGTTTCTTAAGCCGAACTGAGAATCGTCAAAGTCCTCTTCACATTTACGTATACTGCGGAAAAAACGCGAATAATTGTCTTAAGCATCGTAATGGTTTACACAATGAAGGTCTTGATTTAGTAATTAGGGTGCATTGCTTGTATGTATTCAAAATAATATAAACAACCAAATGTAAACAAATTTGTAAAAACCATAGACGCCAATTAATTAAATGTGTTTAATCTCTCACAACTCTGCGTCCCCATGATTTGACCCTGATTATTGTTGCTAATAATTGCCAATTATCAAGCGATTTTTCAACACTAACCGGTTTTATAAACGCAGCAATTAAAAATATTAATGTGTATTATTTGATTTCATGATGCTGTATCAATAATGAATTCTCTTAGTTGTAAGCATCACGATTATGTATTTGCTACCAAATGTTGTGAGGATTATTCAGACGTAGTTGTCAATAAGGCAAACTACGTAGTAAGTTAATTTTTACTCAGAAGTCTGTAGATTTACACGTTATCAAAGTACAAAGTACCTAGCGACAATTTCTCAGAATATTTATTTATAATTGCGAATGGCATAAACATAATGTTAATTGGAATTTAGAATTAGAGAATAGAGTAACGAAAAAATCTGCTTTAAATAAAAAGAGCTTACAATTTTCATTTAATTTTGCAGTGAAATCTTTAACAGATCTATCTGCCAACATGGCTTCAGCTGGATGGCTAATTCTTAACGCCATTAGAATATATTGGAAGACGATTTTCATTATATTATACCCATTAGCTCTACTTCCAGTGTTTCTATTTGATAATGTAGCTGCTCTAAGATGTCTTTACGTTGTACTGTTAATGGCCGGCTATTGGTAAGTATCTTCCTATCCCAAGAAAATGTATTTACAAATATTCTCTACATTTTCTCCTTATAACTCAAAGGTAATGTTTTAGGGTTTCCGAAGCCCTTCCGCTTCCAGTCACATCGCTGATACCAATGGTGCTTTTTCCATTAATGGGGGTATTAGATTCGGACAAGGTATCACTATGCTATCTAAAAGAGACTAATATGATGTTCGTTGGAGGCTTAATCATAGCCATTGCATTAGAGCATTGTAATTTACACAGAAGGGTAGCACTATATGTTATTAAACTGGTATGTAAAACCATTACTTCAGTATAGGAAAAGCATCGACTCAAATTAAGAAATGTTAAATCAAAAAATTTATTATTTGCTATTTTAGGTGGGTTGTAGCCCCAGAAAACTGAACTTAGGTCTGGTTACAGTGACAATGTTGGTTTCTATGTGGATTTCTAATACTGCAGCTACAGCGATGATGATACCGATAATTGAAGCAACACTGATCGAACTGGAGGAACAGGGAATTGGACAGATGTTTGAAACTCCATCATTTTTAGACGGCGCTTCTTCGGAAAAAATGAGGTGTGTTTACGTGTTCTCAAATGTAAAACATCGTCATTCTAAATAGCAGCTTCATTTAAGAAGTGCAGACGAAGAGGATGAAGAAGATCCAAAGAGACCAACCAAAGAAACTATGTGCTACTTCGTGTCAACCGCTTATGCTGCTTGTATAGGAGGAAACGGATGCATCATTGGAAGCGGAACAAATCTAACATTTAAAGGTAAATTGGATTTTGAATGGCTATTGGCAGGGGTGTATGTCTATATCAGATCGTTTGTAATGTTGCGTCAACAAAACTTTAATTACTTTAGAGTCATTTAAAAAAAATTAATTGAGATGTGCTATTCACAATTAAGGAATTTTATTTATTATTATCGAATGCATTTAACAGCGCTTTATATCGTCAGGTATTTAATATCTGTTTGGAATTTGTACTGCTACTTCTACTTCTACTTTCTTCTAATCAATTATAGTGAACACAATATAAAAAATGAAACCAAATATATATGTGAAAAATCCACCCTTGCTCATCTTATGTAGCACGCTTAATTGAGGTCTGTAAATATGTTTTATTAATTTGCCCAACAACTATGAAACAATTATCGAATAAGGAGTCGAAACAAATGATGTTAATGATGATTTTACAAAATTAAAATAGGCTGAGTATTAATTCAAATAAACAAACAATAAATAAAATAAACATTCGTTTAATAGTTCCACAATTTTTGATGTTTTTATAGAGAAAATTATATAAAAACCGTGTTAGTTTTCTTCACACCTAATTCGACTGGAATATCGGAAACATTGCAAACTGTCGGTACGTATTCTTTTTCTGACAAAAAACTTTATATAGGTATGCGTTAGTAATTTAATTTTGTCCAACATCCTTTAATTTTTTTATCGYAAATTAGTTAAGCATGATTAAGTATAWTTAAAATTTGAATCTGGACGTGAACAGTTTTCKCATTCTGAGTTATATTTTGATGATCATTTTCATTTCTAATTTACAATTGTTACATTTTTGAAGGACTAAAACCAAAAWGAAGTAAATTTRGTATTCCAAATTAATTACCTTTCCATATTTCTTATTGTTTAAAATTTACCAAAATACATTTSTATTKACCAMAATACATTTCACGCTTCTGAAGAGTATATCAAATCGAGGAAATATTTAAACTAACTAACCGTGAAARAAAAACGGAAAGTTTTCAATTCCTCCCAATTTTTCTAGCTATGGCTCAAAAACAAAGTGTTSCTTGCACATGCTTAAACATAAAGCATAAAAAATATAATTTTCAATAATTTCARATGTCTCAATAAAATTAGTTGCGAAAGTTGTTCGARGCGAAATAATTAATAATKTTCYATAACAACTATTGACTAGTCTGAGGTTTTCATGGTATTTATAATTGGTAAAATTAGTATTTAAATGTCGTTTTAATTAGTATCGATTTTATTGTTYCRATGAATACATAGARGRGATACAAATTAATGTTTAAAACATTCAGTATATTCATTGAAATGCAAATTTTTCATAATCTGTATTTGAGACTAGTTTGCTCAAATATTGAAAGTTSTACTTCATAAACTGCTCTCATACCGAACATCAGCACAACGTGATGTTACTTGTTGAGATGATTCGAAAAATGTGTAACGTTTAAGASAAAATAATAAAAATATTAAAATTCTTATACGACAAAAAATGCAACACATCAGTTATAATATTGAATGATTTCAGTTATAACAACATGGCTTTAAATAGATTAAACACATCATACATTGGTTTCAATTATTTTGTATTCGTATCTCAAACAAGTTTCAGCATATATTTTAGTTTAAATATTATCAAACGTCGCAAATAGAAAAATGAAATAAAATAATAACTGGATAATGTGGAAATTAATGGTGTAACAGATGAATTTAAATAGTACATTTTACGGAAAATAAGCTGCTTACTTGATTTAATTTCGTTTGTTGAAGGTTCGACAATTTTCATGCGTTTAATGGAAAAGCAAAATTTACCACCAAACAAAAACGTTCAACTTACTACAAAATTCAATTAGTAAAAATACTGAGAAAAACATTTTTTTATTATACCCGACGCATCAAATTATTTGGAACAGAATCGCTTTGCTTTATAAATTAATTGCTGTTAAATACCCATATTCCAAACACTGGTTAATTTTTATCGACCTTGCTCTTAGCTTTCTTAAAAAACAAACGGTTTCTAAATCCATATTATCTATATTTTACAGTGAAATAAATATTAAAATAGCAGTAATTAAAAATAAAGTAAAATATCGAGCAAATATCATTCTTTTAGGTATCTACGAAACAAGATTTGACAACAGTCCTGGAGTAGAGTTTGCCAAGTGGCTCTTTGTCAATGTGCCAATGATGTTGATTATGATGTATCTAACAGTTATTTGGCTCCAGTTTTGGTACATGGGACTTTTCCGACCGAAATCTGCAGACGCTAAGAGACTTAAGTAAGACACTTATTAAAAACACTAGTCTTTTTTTACAGCAACACCAAAAATTCGATTAAAATAACATGGGTATTCGCATATTGCTTACCACCACAAAGTCGTGCCTAATTCATACAAAGAAACAATTAATCATGATCAGGATTACCACATAATATCATAGGTGAACCGGGTTTTCATTTTGGCATAAACAAGTGGTCAAGGATTTTTCTTTGAAGTAATTTTTCTTCAGCGGCAATAACAGAAGCCAGGAGAAATTTGCAAAAAATATATAAAAAAAAACTGTTATTTTTAGTGATTCCTTATATGCTTAATCTTGCTCGGATTCGCTATCTTGGTTCACCAATGTATTTTCTTTATGTTGATTTTATTTTTTCTTACAAATGTTGCATAAAATATAAATTTAAATTAAGCATTTTTATCAGTATTTTTACCCTTGCTTTTTGTAACTGTATAGCTTGCAGGATGATCCCTCGGAAAACTGATACTTTACAATAATTTTTCATTTTTCTAACGCGGAAACATATTTTTTAATGAATATTTTCGTTCTGATTTTTTTGGTTATTTGTATGTTGTTGGCAACGTTATTTTTTTATTGTAAATGTTTCCAGGGTTTGAGCACAGTTAAATTGGTCATCACACATAACACAGATTGATTAAAAAGTAATTAGAGCCTCAAACATTTATATCAAAAAACGTTTTGTTATAGATACATTAAAATATAAATATTAGGTACACCATAAAAGTAAAGATATTATTCATTCAGTCATTATGTTTCACGTTAAATAATATTTCAAATATAATTATATCAGTTCCGATAAACTAATTTACCCTTAACTTAATTCAGTGTTGGAAAGCAAAATGAAACTGTGGCCAGAAAGCTAATAGGAAGAAAACTGACTGAAATGGGTCCCATGTCTTTCCATGAAACAGCCGTTGGTTGTCTATTTGTACTTTCTGTGCTATTGTGGTTCTTCAGAAAGCCCCAATTTATAGTAGGCTGGGCTGAATTGATCACGCAGCATAAAGTGAGTTATTAAAAAATCGAAGGACTTGGTTGTTCTACGAACTTTAGCACAAACGCGAAATATAACACGTTTTGTATACTTTAAGGTCAAAGACGCAACTGCAGCTTTAATAGTCGTGCTCTTATTGTTCGTGATCCCTTCAAGCCCCGACTTCATTTACATGTTCAGCAAGGATGAGGAGAAACGACCAAAAGCTGCATCTCATGCGCTTCTCACTTGGAAAGTAAGGAAATTACAGATTACAGAATTATTATTTAAGTTAATTACATTAAGAGATACATACTAACAGCGCCAAAAATCATCAGATTGCAACCAGACGATTTTTGTCGATTACACGACCATTATCACTTTTTTGCTAAGACTTCGAAGATTCTAGTGGCGTCACATAGTTTAATGTATCTTAGCATCATTGGACATTTTTAGTTCCCCCTGTAACTTCACTTTAATAGCAATGATCGATTGCGATCCGAATTTAAGTCTTCGGGTGCCTGCATTGCTGCGCATTTGCAAAATCACTGAATTTATATTTTTCTCTTTCTAGGGTCTAAAAGATATTCCGAT